ATCTGCCACCCTCCAGAAATGATTGCATTGGAGCAGATTACGCCAAAAAAAGTAAACTTCCAGAAACAGAAGATAAAAATGTAAGCAGTTACTCTCAAATACTATGATATGCAGCAATGACTAAAGCTGGACATACACTGTACGATTTTTTTTACCCTTTTCAGGCTTATTCTCCAGTTATGCGAGAAGTTTTTTGGAGGGGCAGAGTTTAAGCCTCATAGTGCATCCTGTAGTATACCAAGGGTAGCCAGGGACGATCAGCCACTCACGATCACCTCCCGATGAGGAATCGTAAGGTTGGAAGAAAGTTCAACATGTTTGAAATCAAGTCAGCCCTTGTGAGGTGTTCATGGACAAATCCTGCTGTTGGAGCAGAGCTATGAGCCCATTTACCAGAACCTCAAGCGCTGCACGCGCAAACAACAGATTTCTTCTTCCAGATTGACGAGTCCAACCAGCGCCATCTCTCGGCGCAGAGTGATTTTTGAACGTGCAGTGTGAGCAGTTAGATTGAATCAGAGCGTTGGGCCGTCCAGTGTAAATACATGCATCGTGATCTGTGAACTTTTAAACCCTGCGGTTTAATCGTACAGTTTTAGCTAGCTGCGTGCAACAATTGAAAATATTCTACAGTGCAGGCCAAGCTTAACGTAAAGTACGTACCTGATTTGATTTGTTCTGATTTGGGAAGCATCTTAAACTGATGGATCAATCCTGCCCTGTAGCAATGGTTCAGAACGTTGTTGGTGATATAATGGTGTGGTGTACGTTTTCTTGGCACACATACAGCACTACAACAGAGCCTGCTTGAGAGTTATTACTGGCCATGCACAGCCTTTTATCTGTTATCCACCTTCCAGCAAGATAATCCAATATGTCACAAAGGTCAAATTCTGCAAAACACTTTTCTCTGACTTGAAGATAAGTTCATTGTAATCTAGTGGCCTCCTTAGTTCACCAATCTCATTCTAGCAGGGGGCAGTGTGGGTTTGGGCTGAATTATAGCAATGAATATGCAGCCATAAGTAGGGCTGGGCGATATAGAAAACAAGCTTATCGATAAAAAAAAATGCATATTGATCGATATCGATAATTATTGAAAAGATTTGAAACCATATTTTATGTGCAGCTCTGCCTGGACTTTTTATAATATTGCTAAATGATTTCATTTAGCAATATTTTTTTCATAAAGAACACAAACACAGACTTCCAATTAAATCTTTGTGTAACCAACTTTTTTAACCATAACAGAATTGTTTTAAAGAAAAATAGCTTAAAAGACCTGAGTTATGTTATGAAATACTGACAAAGAATAAACTAAAGTGACCAGAAAAGTGACCAAAATAAATATAACAAATAAATAAATGGACACCCCCCCTCCCCCCGCCCGCATTCTTCTAAGCTGAACCTGGTTCAGCTTAGTTTCCTGCTTTAACCTGCTTTATTACTTTGAAGTTTCTGGCCCCTCAGCATTTTTATCTCAATTGTTAGAACTACGTGGGAAACTGCCCAGAACTGAATATATATATATATTTTCCCGAAATTCCCGAACATTCCTCGAAGGACGACGCAGATGCGCGCCGTGGCCTACACAGCTCGTACTCCTGCGGGTGTGAGCGGCCGAGATGATAAAAAAAAATTGGTTGCGTTATCAGACTTCGTTTTCACTGGTTCCCTACAAATTTTACAGATGACTGTGGTTTGTTTTTTGTCCGACTTGCCATGACCGAAATACTGCCAAACTGGCGAACTACAAAAACCCTTCTTTGGAACAATTTCCTCCGCCTCTCCTTGCTGCGACATCTTCATGTGCTCTGTGTTGTGGTTTGAGAGGGCGGCGCTTTGTGACGGCGTGCCTGGGTCCGCGATTGTGATTGCTTGGGAGGAAGTAGTGACTAGCATAAACCTACATGCTAGGCTACAATGAGAAGGAAGGAAAACTGCGTTTTTTTTATCGAACTTTTATCGACCTGCTTTTTTTCTATTGCGCCACACGTCTATCAATCGATATATATCGTTATTGAATTATCGCCCAGCCCTACCATAAGGTCCATGCAAAGCAAAATGCATAATATTTCCAACAAGTAATGATTGTAGACCATTAACAGTTATGTTCTGAAGGCCAAAAGGAGATTCAGCTCATTAATAGCAAGGTTCACCTGGTGTGTTAGCTGTCCACGTCTCTTTAATAAGAACTTGATGCTTTGCTGTTGGAAAACATTAAGAGTTTTTTTTTTTGTTAAATGGGCTTCATAGAAGGTTAGTCAGAGTGGAGAGAGAGACAAAAATGAGCTGAGAAAAAAAGAGGTTTTGTTTTGTCAGACTTCTAATAAACAGAAAAAATGAGGTTTACAGATAATGATTTGCTGCGGCTCATTCTCTGCTGACTACGATGGGAACATTCTGTGAGTTCAGTTCAAGTCTATGTTTGTTGTATCAGCTACACTGCAAAACGGTGGCTGAATCTAACAAAAGGACCCCGTCTTCACTAATGGGCCCCAAGTAGATGATGGATGGAAACTCAAAGCATGACATAAAAGGGCAAAATCTGTGTTCCTGAAGTTTGTTCTTTCCATATACTAGATTTTTGTAGAGATATTGACAGAGGCTTAGCCCATCTGTTGGGTTTTCTTTATGGCTTTTAGTGAAATTAAAGATTTAACCTTGTGCTGTTTAAATTTCCCAAATATGCATCCTTTGCTTTTTTTTTTTTTATCAATGTTATAAGAAGAATGGAAAACTCTTCTATACTTAAAAAAATCCCAAACACTTCAAGAAAATTTTAAGTAAATCAAAGCTACCGTTGGAAAAAGAAGCACCCTGTCGTATTGGATGCGTATTATTTTATTTGAAACATTTATCTGTTTAGCTTTGTTATGCTGGGTGATTTGTTAAGAGGGTGACTTAAATGTGGAGGATTCCTCAACAATGTAGGTCACACGCTAGAGAGATGTTCTCTGTGGTGCCACACCAGAGAAAAGCTTTGTCACTTTTTTTAATTTACCCCATCCTCTGGAGGGAAACAGATTAGCATAATCAGGCTATTCACTGTCAGACTCTCAAAAGCGTACCATGTTTATTCTCTAACCTAACAATCATTATGCACAAAGACACAGTACCAAATAAGCTTGTGTGTAACAAGCTCTCTTGAGTTCCTCTTTGTCATCGCCCATCTCTTAGGTGGCAGACCTTCAATGGGAAACTCTTCACTAATGTAATCTCATTGCCTTTTTCCTCAACTGTTGGTGAGGACTTAGAGCAACATGGATGGATTGTTTATCTTTGCAAAAGCTGATGCTTATGCGCTCTTGTGTTTCCTTTCAACATAAATACACTTGCCCGTGGGCAAAGGAGCAGCGTCTCCTCACTGTTCTGATAAAGAGAGAAAAGATTTTCCTTGCTCAGTGTTTGAGCCACCCCCACCTCTCCTGTGAGCCGGATCCCCACCACATGTAGCCTGCACCACACAGTCTTGGCAAATGCTTTTGTTTCTGTTAGGGTGAGCTGAGGTAGCCCTTATAGATCCCCATTTTGGGCTCCCGGCCAAGACTCTGCGTCGAACACGGTGGGCCCCCGGCAGCCGTGCACTCTGATGACAAATGTGGATGGCCGGCAGGGGGGGAAACCTTGAGAACGTGCAGGGAGATAAGGGCATCTAAGCACTGGTGTTTGTTATGGGAGCAATTTCGTCTTTAGAGGTCTGACATTGTGATTGCAGAGTTTTGAAGTATTGTATATTGTTTCCCATTCATGGGCAGTTGAATAAAAACATTGTTTTTTTGGTCTTTCTTTTATATTTCTCCTTATGTTTTTGCTTTTGGACGGTATTTGCCTGTGGAATTTTTATCCCTTGCATTAGGCTTGGCAATTACGTGCCTGCATCCCTTCGTTTATTCGCTGTGTTGAGTGGAAACTCTGAGGCACAACTGTTTAACAGACTCCTGGCCTTCCATTTCCCACACCCTTCAGGCCCCCTTAGAGACTTCAAGGTCAGGAAAGGGCTCAGGCTGAGATTCATTGCTTGGGAAGTTCTGTCTGTGTCGTAAGTGGCTCCAGTCTCTCCTTTTACAGTCCTGTTAGCGGTCATCTGCCGGTACTGAATTCGTCAGGGCGACTCTTACTTCCCGCCATCAGATGAAGAATGCCTCCGATGGATTGAGTAAGTGGAGTCATTTTGAAATTCGGATGTTGAAAGTTCTGGCTGAGCAGCACAAGACCTTACCAGCATGTCAAACTCTCCGACAGCTGAGCATGCAAGCTTGTGTGTGTGTAAATTTTAGGGGGTCAGGTTGAAGCGAAGTGGGGGGGGGCTGGCCTTTAAAGGTCCAGCGGAACAAAAGTTATGTAGGCAGCTGCCACCCCGCTGCCAGCAGTTCATGATCCAAATGGAAGATGTACGCTCACACATGTGGGTTGGGATAGACGAGGATCTGACACAGTGAGCAGGGGGACTGTAGTTGCTCCTGTCACTCTCAGGCCACACACATGCTCATGTATACACAGAAGGTTCCTGTTCTTGTTTAGCCAACTTCCCAAAACCCACAGAAATGGAAAAAATGCTGACATTTACTGTTAAATACTCAAACAAGTTACTTTCTTGTAGATCTGCTGAATCAATCCTTCTAAAACTAAATACGATGGTATGAAAACCTTCCAATCCTACCAATTTTAGTATAATTTGACTTGTTCCACCAATGAAAAATACACAACTTTAAGTACATTGGCGTTTATGTACCTTTGGAGGGAGCATGCGCTCATTCCCAGTTTGCCTTCATGGACGCTGATGAATTGGTGGCAGTTGCTGAAGGCATATTAGGGCAGAGGGTGACCTGGGAGGGGCTTACGGGTGAGCCGGGTGGAGATTAATGTACTGTGTGACTGTGATGGGTGGTTGCCAAGAGGAGGGGGGAGCTAACAAGAAGCAGGAACGGCAGGGGAGGGGGTTTTTGATGGTGGCGTGGGGTGTCCGGTGAGAGCAGTAATTTGGGACGCCCAGAGTGCGGCGTTTCACCAGCAGTTGTCACCTCAGCAGTTGGTGGAAGAGAAGCACATGTGTTGCTCTAAGTTGGACCCTTTATTTATTTATTTTTGAAAGAGTGTCTCTCAGTGATATTTGATTTTGAATATTTCATGATTGGACCATAAGAAAGAACGTCCTCTATCGTGGAACCAGACAGCCTGATCTTCTTTTTTTGTTCAATCCATTCTTTGACGGTAAGACAGACTCTTGGCATAATGGAGATGTTTTGAACTGAGATGAACTCTGCATCACGTAAATACACGTAAACAAAACTGCGATTTAAAAGGAAAGTTCCCAGTCTATTGCGTTCTTGGCAGCTCTCCCAGACTTTCTACTCTTTTTCGCCTGTTTTTAACTTCTCAGGAAAGAAACTTAGAAACACGTTAGGCTTCTTCTCTTTTCTTATCAGTCCCTGAAGCCTTCAGTTGGGTGGTGGGCTGCTGGCGCCTTTGAGGACTTTATGGGGCAGATAGTAGGGAGTGTGAGGTGACTAGCAGTGTGGCCTGTTGAACATCGTCATTCGCCGAGCTGACACCGGCCTCAAATCCTGGAGCAGAAGCAGTGCTTCTGCTGTGATTTATTGGCAAATGCATGCAGCTCACAATATGTTACCTGTTTCTTTATTGACAAATAATTTTATTCAATAGTTATGACTATGGCATTTGTCTAAATCAGGGGTCTGCAACCTTTCATATCCAAAGAACCATTTTGCCCCGAGTCCGACCAAGTAAAAGTTGTTTAGAGGCGCAAAGTAGATAACTTTTTAGAAAAACAATTTGTTTGTTTCTTTATTATCTAGTATAGGAAATTAGTTTCCATCTTAAACAGCCAACAATGTATGTATTTTATCTTTTAAAATAATATTAAAACATAAATTCCAAGATAATTAAAAGGAAAGTGACTCTAAAAACATATTTCTGGTTCTTTTAATGTCCTTCTTATCCATTTTTATAAAAAACACTAAAGCTTTTAAGACTGGTATTTATTTTGTAGTACATTATTTAGCTCTTTATATACATTTTAGGTACTATTAAGAGCCGCAGCAGATGGTCCAAAGAGCCACATGTGGCTCTGGAGACGTAGGTTGCAGACCCTTGGTCTAAATGAATCAGACACTTGAAATAAAGAGAAAATGTTTTCTAAGGTTAACTAAATTAAAGCATTTTCTCCATTTTAAAGCATTGTAGATGTGTATTGCCTTTAATATTAGAAAAGCAATGCTTTTTGTATTAAATCAGTTGCTTTTAAATTTGTGGTTAAATTATAAGGAGCTATGGGCTTACCAAACCAGAAATGCAGGAACGCCCTACGTTTAATAACTGGTTGTGCCACCTTTGGCGGTAACAAATGTTACTAAAGCACCGGCATTAACTGGCAGCAAGTCTTTCACATCACTGTGGGGGAATTTTGGCCAATTCTTCCTTCCAGAATTGTTTTAAGTCAGCTACATTGGAGTGTTTTCCCACATGAAAGGCCTATTTAATGTCATGACAGTATTACAGTTTGATTTTAGGCCAGTCTGGAAAATTTTTGGATTTTCCTTTAGCCATTCTTTGACTTTGTGATGCTGTTTAGCCCAACTAAGCTTAAGCTTAATGCAATTCTTATTTGAAAACATTATTTTTTAGAATGGTAGGGGGAAAAGTCATTTAAAAAAGATGAAATTGTCCAGAGAGCTGTTTCCAAATGAAATTTCTTTTTGTTTTTACACTTGTGTAAACAAAATGACAAATAAATCAGTCTAAGTCTAAGTCTTGTACCTGGTTTAGGTTTGGGGATCATTAAGATGAGTTTTTTTGTGTGTGGAAATGTAAAAGAAAACCTGGTTTTTGGGGTCAGCCTCGGTTCTGGCTTTGGAAAATTTCCAGTGGAAGTCACTTTTGCGAAGTCTCTTTTTTTATTGATGAGCAGTAATCACTCACGTTATTAGAGGTAAGTGATGCTCAGTAGTTCTCAGATGTTCTTTTGTGAGCCTCCAGATGACTTGTTGATGTGCTCTTGATGCAATTCTCTAGACTTTGTACTTCAGCAAAGGGTCAATGGTAGACTGCAACTAAGTATTTGGGGTGGCTGCCAAGTGGTCAGGGCATAGAGCTTGGAATGCTGAAGTTCTGAGTTCAAAACCCACTCCCAGAGACTGCTACTCTGGTTCTCTGAGCAAGACCCTTTACCCCCGATTCTTTCCCAGGCGCCCCACGATGGTAGCCCACTGCTCCCTAAGGGGGTGGGTTTAAATCAAGAGCTAAATTTCTTCAATGTGAGATCAATAAAGTTTAATTATATTATTACTTTGCAAATCAATTAATCTGTCAATTATTTTTTCCATTGATCGATTAATAATCGGATAGGTAAAAGTCCCTTATAGAATTTTTACTAAATTAAACCAGTTGAAACTAAAACTTTTCCACTTGAGTAGTTCTTAATAGAGCATATTGATAGACGAAAACATTTTCTTTTATCTTAAATACAAAATATTTATATATATTTTTTTACAATTTTGATATAATTACTGATCTTAGTGGTTTGATCTGTCAACTAAAGCCATGTTTTACAGTCTCTATACTCCAGTTAACAATTAATCCATTACTAAATTAGTTGACGATTAATTAAATGATCGATTAACCATGATTAATCCGATTTATTGTTTGAGCCCAAGTCAAAGGTTTTCTGTGTTTATGAATAACGGCTCCAATAATGTAGAGATGTCTGTATGAACCTTTCAGGGTTGTCAGAGAAGTTTTTTCTCACGTTTGGAACTGTTTGGAACTGACTATGATGTGTTGCATTAGGAAGTATTTTGCCCTCCTTGATGTTGTCATAGAAACCCTCTTTTAGAGATATCTCAATTCTACATGTTTCTTACTGCATTAATCGACATTGAGACGGGCTTGTGGGGTTAAACCCTAACCTATTCATTCATCTTGGTTGATAAATGATAAAATATGGAGGAGGGGTTAATATTTTTACATGGTTCACGTTCAGTTTGGATTTGATTATTTTCTTTGAAATGGTTTCATTATTCTTTGCATTTTGTACCTGATATTAAGATTAACTTGATGATCTGCAAAAAATAAAACTTGACAAAGAAGCAAAAGCAACGCAACATGGTTATGTGTGTAGGTAAAAAATGTTGATTAGTGCTGACATTGTTTAAAGAGAGTTGCTTTTTCCATCATGTTGCTTTATTTCCTGCCGCTTTATTAAAGCACTATGTGTGGACAGATTGGTGGGTCTCCAAGCTGCCGTTGGACAGTTGTTTTAAAGCGTGTCTTGACAACACAGCCACCCTGGATGGTTCCCCTGTTGTAAGATTAAAGGATTCCTCTTTGCCAAAATGATCTCATGCCTTCAAACCCTAAGAAGCACATATCATGATCCAGATTATGTTTTTATTTTTCCTCAAAAATGCAATTAAATGTTTCTATAGGAGAACATCAGTTCAGGATTTCATATTTTTATGCATGTAATAGGTCTTTTTTTTTGTTACAGAACACATCTAACAAACTTGCAGAGCCTGCAATTTCACATCTAATAGCGGATAAAGTTCAGGAAACGTTTTTGTGGCAAACATGATAAATATGCAGGTACTGCTGTTTTGGCCAAAACTTCAACATTCCTCCTCCCACTCACCTGCATAAATGAAAATAAACCCGGTAGTACTCCAGATAAAGAGCTATTTTTAAGGCGTCATTAGGTCCTCCTGATCTTGCTTGTCTGGCTTTTATAGGAGGCGTACAGTAGTAGAGCATGTTTAGCTTGTAATGGCATACTTTTGTGTGGTTCTCCCTCCCTTTTTCCTGAAGCATCACTTTTGATGTCATTAGCCTTGCGCATTGAGGGCATTTCTGTCCATCATAAAACTGCTGTTTCTAGCATGAAACTTTAGGGTAATGGGGGGAAAAGTTTTTTTCCCCTTATGACTTAAATTCTAACATCAAGCCACAACTATTGATTTTAAATGTATCATTCCAAACCAATAAAGACTTTTTTTAATTGACTATAATAGATTTATTATTCAGAATCTGGTGAGTAACTGAGACCTACTGATTCTCAGACAAATGCATGTTAAGCAAAATCAATCAATTAACTTTATTGTCAACTACAGTTACATTGCAATTGAGATTTCAGTTTCAGTAGAAACCGTTCTTTGCATACATCAACGGTTTTACTGAGGCCATGCGTGCCTCAGAACGCTGTCTTTGGCGCGTTCTTATGGCTTTCCAGGTCCCCACTAGGGGTGTAAATCACATCCATCATGGCGATTCGATTCAGTATCGATTTCCTGACCCAGCGATTCGATTATTTTCGCTACTCAAGAATACACCACGATACGATTCGTTTCGATTAATCGGTTGATTTTTTTTTTTATACCATACAGGCTAAACAAAGTTTCAAGTTTGAAATAAATCAATGAAAGCTGTAATATCGTTATGCTTTTTTTTTTTTTTTTTTTTAGAAACAACAGCAAATAACAGAAGTAGAAAAGTTGCATAAAAAAAATACTGCAATAATCAGTGCAATGAGTGCAATGCAATACCTCGGCTCCAGATGTCCCCGCCCCCTCCACAGACGCTCCGCTGCTCCTCTCCCCAATTGTAGCTGACCGCAAACAGTGCTGCAGACAGGAGGCCAGCTTGTTTTGTTTTTATGACCGAAATTGCGGAAAACAACTCGTAAAGTTTGGCCCGCTAGAAGAGCGAGGTGCACGAGAACGCTGGGACCCTTTTTCCACCTGGATCTCCGCCCTTTTTGGCCCCCATGTCCCTCCGTCGTTTGACTAAACTCGCCCCCACTTCCTCTCTGCCTCGGCCGTATCTAGACCCACAGCGTGTAGCGCAGACCACGCTTCAATACTGAGCATAAATCAAAAATGTCTGTGTCAAGCTCACTGCAACACACTGCTGTAAGAGTATAACCAGGAAGTGAGGTAGGAGGGCAAAATAGGTTTAGCGCCACCGCAGCACGGGAGGGAGAATTACGCCCAGGAGCAAATGGATAAAAATAGACCGGAGAAAAAAAAAAAAAACTTGAATCGATTCTCTTGCGGACGTATCGATGCATCGGATCGTCGGCTGTTTTATCGATGCTTCGATACAAAACGATTATTATTTACACTCCTAGTCCCCACCATGAAGTGGTTCCCTATAGTGCTGCCTTTATCTCTGTGGAAAGATAGGAATCACATTTGGGAAAG